GGTCCTACAGGGCATGTGAGCAGCTGGCTGTCAGCTTTGTTGAAAGGTCTACACTGGTGGGTCAGTGGAAAGAAGGGGGAGGTGCAGCAGGCTCAGCTGGAGCTACTAGCAGAGGTCGCTCCACGTTCCCCTCAGTGCTCGTGGTCCTGTGATGATGCTAGCACGAGGGAGGGCTCGTGGTGTGTCCGCAGTGCCCAGCCCTAGAGAGCCGGAATGCTGCCGTTACCCCGTTTCATGGCTGGGTCTCAAGGACCCCAAGAGTCTGTACCACGGATGTCCAGCCAAGGGCCTGTGCGAGCTACGTGCAGGTGCAGGACCCCAGCTGGGAAGCCTGACCCTGTTCCCAGTGGGACAAAAGCCCTTTTGTTGCTGTTCCAGCCACAAGGCGGTCCCTGACCCTGAGCTGATGCCCATGGGGACACTCGGGGAGCTGGACCGGTCCCTCTCAGAATCAATGTGTGCATGGATGACTATTTTTCTTTAGCAAAAACCAATCTTGCTCTGATCATGGGCTTCTATTTGACCTTATGTTCTAAAAATATGTGTTCTTAGAACAAAGTGGTTTTAATTGTCTAAATGTGTGTTTTTAGTCTCCGTGGGTTTCCGAGAGAGAAGCAGCCAAGGACCTCAGGGTCAGACAGCGGCCTGGCCGGGCGGCCGCAGAACCCTGCTGTGCTACAAGGTGCTGGTGCCACTGGGGCTGGGACACTGGTGTTCCCTGAGGGCCTTGGCCCGGCTGCCACTCGCATTTTGGTTCATAATAACCCCAGGACGTGTTGTAAATGTCCGTTCCCTCAATGAGGAAACTGAGGCACAGAGTTTTTTTATCTATTGGCAGCGCTCCACCCCTCCAGGTCACATCTTGAATTGTAACCCCAGGGGCAGAGCAGGCTGGTGGTTCAGGGAGGCAGGAATGAGGGAGAAACGCCCCTCCTGTTCCCCCCACACCCCTCTTTCTTCCTGATGTGAGTTTTGCTGCCTTATCCAGGATCCATAGAGACCTGTAACGTGCTGGCACGAGCCATGCCCAGAGCAGGTGCTCACTGAGTGCCAGCTGAGAACATGTGCCCACGGGCCGTGGGCAGGCTGCCCCCTGCCCTGCCCTCGCGCAGCGGGTGGGAGCACTCGCCCAGGTCTCTGCAGCCACCCTGCTACCCTGGGGATGTGTGGAGGGGCTAGGCCGACCGTGACTCCAAACCCCCCACCTTCCACCCAGGAGAAGAGACCCCCCCCCCCAGGGTGGTAGAGGCGGGGAGGCCTCGGCTGAGTGGGTTCCTGGGTGGGAAGGTGAGGCCATGGCTGGCAGCTCAAACTGGAGGTGACAAATGAGATTAGTGCCCAGAGGGGACCAGTGGCTTCTCGTGTCAGAGAAAGCCGATTTGCCTTCTGTGACTCACTTGTCCTCGGGCCCACCCTGGGCTGGAATTCTGTTGTTCCCCCGGGGGCCAGGGCCACCTCTACTGCAGGGTCAGGAGCCGTCTCTGGACAGCAGGGGTTGCTGAATGGAGGCCCGCAGGAGCCTGGAGCTGGGGGAGGAAGGAAGCCGAGGAAGGAAGTCGTGGTGCCTCCAGGGCTGTGGAAGCTGGTGGCGGAGGAGGAGCGCCCTGCCTGGGCGGGGCGGGGGTCCAGGGGCCTTCCCCAAGGAAGGGACATGTGACCCAGGCCCGGGAGGGTGAGCAGGACTGGATGTCGGGGAGGATAAAGGCAGACTTAGCGATGAGAGGGCCTTCCGGGTCAGACGAAGGTGACAGATTCCCCAGGGCTTGGGGTGGGGACTGAGACAGGCCCAGCTGGGAGGGGCCTTGTCTCGGCAGCCTCCTCACCCCCTGCCCGGCCTCCCCTCCCAGCCCCTCTGTGGAGAGGCCAGCAGGCGGTGGAGCTGTGCCAAGGTCAGTCAGGATGTCCAGTAATCGTCCTAGCGCTCTACCTGCTACGGAACGATAATGAGAGGGTTTCCATTATTTTCGGGTGAGCGCCCCTGGCAGATGCTGACAGCCAGCAGATGTGTGAGGTCCGAGGTGATTTGCAAGGGACCGGTTCATGTGATGCACAGTAATTGCACCAGGCGACGATGTTGTCACTCAAAGGTTGTCCTGGCCTGCCGGGATGAGGTAAAGGTCAGTTCAAAGATCTGGTGTGGCCGCAAGAAGTGGGGGTAAATCTGTGGGGCTCCTGGGGAGAGGGCTGTGGGCTGAGGCAGTGGCTGTGGTCTCACAGGGGCCACCTGGCCAGATCCCCGCTTGGAGCTGAGCGGGGCCCTGCACTAGGCCCTCTGTCTTCCGGATTCTTGGGTGTTGTGGGGGCGGAGATAACAGGGCCCATCCTGGAGCAGGGCCTGATCCTGGTGCTGAAATCTCTGGGATTGGCTCCTCTTGGGGGCCCCTGCAGGCTATGCCATGGCCCTAAAGCCATGCCAGGCGTGGGCCCTTTTGACATTCTGAGTTCTGATGTTCTAGGCCTCCCATGGCCAAATCTGCGACATCTGACAGCAAACCCCACTAAGAGAGGCCGAGGACTTGGTCTGTCTGAGCCACCAGAATGGAATACAACAAACTGGGGACTTAAACAATGAAGTTTATTTTCTCAGAGCTCTGAAGGCTGGATATCCAAGATCAAGGTGCCAGCAGGGTGGGTTTCTGGCGAGAGCGCTCTTCCTGGCTTGTCGGGGGCCACCTTCTCGCTGTGTCCTTAAGTGGCCTCTTTGCGCATGCAGAGATCCCTGGCGGCTCTTCTTACAAGGACACTAATCCTATCCTATCACAGCCCCACCCTTAGGGCCGCGTGTGACACAATTCAGGCCACAGCGTTGGGCATTCAGCGCCTCACCTTCAGTGCCGACCCGTCATCTCATGCCTCCTGTCCCCACGTGCGTGCACAGGTGCACCCCACGCGCACCTGTTCCCACCTGTACAGTGTCAGTTTCCCTTCCAGTGGGAAGAGCTGGGCTTGTGTTTCTGGGCTGCTGGGCCTCGCCCGACACGGGGCTTCCTCACTGGGAGAGGGGCCAGCTGCCTTTATCCCTGTGCGAGGCCCGTGCACGCCATCACGTGTCCGTAGCCAGCTGTCGGCTTTGCTGCTTCCGAGCTGCCTGACCCTGTAGGTCTCTCCTCCTGGAGCTCCGTCTTCTCGTCTCTAGAATGGGGATAGCGGTTCTCGCCTCATTGGCTTGTTTACTCCATCAGCTCATACTTGGTGACCGCCACCTGCATGCCAGGCACCTGGCCCTGGGGACATATGTGCCCTCAGGGAGAAGACGTTCACCTCACAGATACCGGAGCCCACAGCGAGGCTCAGCATACTGTATTCACGCTTCACCATTTGAAACAATAATGTTGGCCACTTTTACTGGTTTTGGTAACTAAGGAAAATGAAGAGAGGACCTGGGACTGGTCCCAGGTGGTCAGGGAGCGTCTGTGGTGACGCATCAAAAGGCGGTGAGGTCGGGGGCACGGATGGACAGGCCCCAGGGAGGGGACTTCCTCAAGCATTTGCTACCCGATTTTTCAGGGACTGATTCAATGCTACACTGTTCCTGTGATATCAGAGCCGATGGTTTGGATGAACTTCTGTTGGGATTTCAAAGGAGACCAGTGGCTGAAGTGTCCCGAAGCGGGTTCTGTTATTTACTCCTTTTTTTCACGGGCATCTGAAGTTGTGTTTGGAACAGCAGATGTGAGGCACCATCATCTCGCTGTCACACCGATTGCTCACTGTTCTGAGAAGGTCACATCATAATTCATTAGCGCTAATGAGTCCCCTGGCACCCCCCACACTTCTTCCCTCAACTGCTCCATTACCGGGTGTGAATCACACATTCTGGGCGACAATCAATGAAGATCTGTCCATAATGTACAAGGTGATGCTATTAGTTACAATAATTAACTGCCTAATTAAAAATACAAAAGCTGTCTTTATGAAGGGCAATTAACCACTAAGCCTAATTGATAATTCATAAGCCCCTGATTAGGAAAGACAAATACTAAGAAAGGACTGACTCATCCGGACCACTGATGAAGACATTGTCAGCCCCTCGGCCTGTCAGCGGCACTCGGGTGCCAGTAGAGCTGCAGCTTTCCCCCCCCACTTGCACCCGTTGGCCTCAGTGTTTGGAGGGCCTGGAGCCCCATGGGGACGTGGGGACGGGTGTTTTCACCCCTGAGCCCTGTCTGTTTTCGTCAGGGCCTGTGAGGGGCTGCAGGCCTGGGATCCCTTCGGGCGGCAGCGCGGGGTCGGCCTGGTCGTAAGGAACGGTCCCTCTCACTGGCCATCACTTGGACTTTGCATCGGTCAGTCATTCAGCAGGTGCTTGTCGGGGGCCTGCTGTGAGCCAAGCCCCCGTGTGAAGAACTGGGGATGTTGAGGAGAGCCGAACAGACCCCCTTCCTAACCTCACGGTGACACATAAGTGACAATGGTGAGAAGACACACCTCAGCTCGGTCCCGCGGCCTTTGCCCTTTTGGGGAAATATGGACCCAGAGTTAATTAGGCATATTAGCTCAAATGTGCTCATTATTGTGGAAAGGTACAGAGAAATTGCGAGAAACGATCAGAGGTGACCTCCAGCCAGGCCAAGCAGGATGTGTATGATGGAGGGGAGGTGTTGAGTGGGTCTCTGAAGGTGGGACAGTTGACACTTGTGGAGAGGCAGCATGTCCCAGGCTGAGGGAGGAGGGGACACATTCCAGTAGAGGGAGCAGAGATGTGTCCTGGACACAGGGAGTGGGACATGTCCTAGGTGGAAAGAGGCCTGGGCAAAGTTCAGGTGGGAGCCTGGCTGAGGAAGGATGAAAAGGAGGGTTGGTGGGGCATGGCGGGTCCCCTGGAAGGGCCCTGGTCTAACACTCTGGGGTCAGTTGAGGCCCACCTCAGGGACCTCGGTGACCTGGCCTGCTCTGGTGACCCGATTGCCCTTGGAGAAAGCATCTTTCTATCCCCCTCCCCTGGAGGTCACCCGCTCCACATGGTAACAGCACCCTCTACCTGTCATTCCCACCTCCAGACTGAAGCAGTCCCGGCTAAAGGTGAGGTTCTGCACCAACGAGTCACAGAAGTCCCGGGGCAAGCTGGTGGGGCTGCTTCGGCAGCTGGGCTTCGACGTCTCCGAAGGCGAGGTGACCGCCCCGGCCCCGGCCGCCTGCCAGATCCTGAAGGAGAGAGGCCTTCGGCCGCATCTGCTGGTCCACGACGGTAGGCCTGCTGGCGGGGCTGGGGGCGGGCGTCCCGCTCACCTGGGCCAACTGGGAAGGACCCAGAGGAAACACCTGGTGTCTGCCGACACTCATGGGCCTGTGGCTGGAAACCTTGGGGGCCCCATTCATTCCCTGGCCTCAGACCACAGGGTCCTTCGCGGCAGGTTCCAGATGGGTCCTCAGGGGAACCCCTGAGCTTCTTTTCTTTGATCTAGGATGGACCCAGGGGGCAGGGGGCAAAATTCTAGCATGGGGGGGAGGGGGAGAGGGGAGGATGAAGAGGTAGGTGGAGGGCCGTGCGTTTCTACGGTAACTCTGGCTCCCATAACCTGAACTATGTTTGTGAAAACCAGCCCCGCTGTGGCAAATGGCACAAGGTTTACATCCCGGGATTCGTCTGACTGCGAGAAAAGGGCTACTTTGACCCTCAATGGGGTGTTTTCTGGAACAAAGTGGAAGAGACAGTTGTCTGGTGCCTTCTGAATGTTTAAAAAGCAGAGACATGAGCAGTGCTTCAGGATTCAGGACACTTTTCTGTCGTTGGCACTGAGCCTCTCTCTCTCTCTCTCCCTCCCTCCCTCACTCCTTCCCTCCCTTCCTCTGACTCAATATTTTTATTTACAAACCCCTGGCAGAAGCAGGGGAGCTTTTCTGCGCCCAGCAGGAGTGGGGGCCCCCCGGAGGTAGAGCTGCTCCCTAAAAGGCCCCCAGCATCGAATCCACAGCTTTGGTGCCCGCCGAAGGTGCCATGCCCAGCCTTTAGAAACCGTGTTCCTCAGAATCCTTCCTCTGTGAGCTAGGACCACTGCCAATGTCTTTAGAACAAGTCCTCAAAGAAACAGAAAGCCTTAGGAAAGAGAATGCCCTTCCCCAAGGGGAAGGAAGGGGTGGGGGTGGAGCGGCAGGGAGGAGAGGGACAGAAGGTGTGTCCCCAGGGGGCCAGGGGCCCTTCCTCTGCTGTCACCCTGCGTCTTGTTTCCATAAATGTGCCTGTTTTCAGACTTTGAATCTTTTCAGGTTTTATTATTGATGACTTTCCCCCCAACATTTTATTAGGAAAACTTTCAAACACACAGCAAAGCTGAAAGAATATTTGTATGCTCATCGCCTTGATTTTACCAGGGATAGTTTACTATTTTCTGCATTATATAGCCTCTCTCCATCTCCCCGTCTTATCTTTTTGATGCATTTTAAAGTAAATTGCAGACATTGGTATACTTCCCCAAAATACTTCAGCTCATTGTTAACTAGCGGTCAATATCCGTTTACAGTTTTTTTTATATATATAAAATTTATGTTCAATAAAATGCAGACACCTCAAGCATACTTTTGCTGTTTTTTGTTTTTTTTTTAAGATTTTGGGGAATTGGGGGAGGGGAACAGCGTTGGGGAATCAGGGAAGGGGAGCAGACAAGTTGCTGTCCTTTTGTTCTTCAGTGAAGGACGTTGCTTCACTGGCCCATGTTGGTATTATCATTGTGCTCTTCCTGGGTGAGTCAGTCGCTCGCTGTCCATTGGACGGCCGCTCACGAAAGCGCACGCCAGCTGCTGGCCAGCTCCACTGCAGCCTACGCCGTCGCCTGCGACTCAAGGAAGCCCAGCTCCAGGTCGAGCTGTTGTTCACCATCTTAGCTGTGGAGGGCACAGCATCACTGGCCCTCATGTGGGATCCGAACCGGGGTCCTGCTGCTTAGAGCTGGCGTCCTACGCCAACTCTTAACCAACGCGCCACTCGGCCGGCCCACTTTTGCTGAGTTTTGACAAGTACACGCACCTGTGTAACCCAAACTTCTATCAAGATCTAGTACTTGACCTTCGCTCTGAAAATTCCCTCATGCCCTTCTCAGTCAGTCCCCACCCCCACCCCCACCCCCATCTTAAGAGGCACCCGCTATTTGGATTTTTTTCCATTATAAATAAATTTGCCTTGTCTGGAGTTTCATATAAATAGAATCGCACAACATCTAGTTGTGCTGGAGGTCGCCAACACCACCCTCAGGCTTGATGATTTTCTAGAAGGACTCACAAGGCTCAGAAAAGCTGTCATCCTCATGGTTACAGTTTATCACGGTGAAAGAATACAGATTAAACTCAGCAAAGGGCAGAGACACCTGGGACAAACTCCCGGAAAGTCCAGGCATGACATGACCTTCCAGTTGTCCCCTCCAGTGGAGTTGGACTGGGATGTGCTTATGAGTACGTCTCCCTGCAGTGATGTGTGACAGTACATGCAAAGTTTCGTCATCCAGAGAAGCTCCCTGGAGTCTTGTGTTCAGGGTTTTGATTAAGGGTCACTGAGGTAGGGCTGTGGTGGTGTGACTGACCTTGGGGGGTTCTCAGTCTCAGCCCTGCCCCGATGTCAGAATGATATAGCTTGGCTCAGGGCCTCAGGCCCACAAAACCACTCCTTCCAGCAGGTTGTTCCAAGGGCTGATCTCCCGGGGCTGATGGGGGGCCTGTCCCAAAGACACGCTCTCTTTAGGTTGTGCGGGGTTTGAGCAGCCCAGCCTGCCGAGTTCACCCTTCCTTTTGCAGTAGCCTTGTGTGTAAGGCTTCTGTCACCCCACTGGTTGTGAGACATCCACGTGGCACACGAATCAGTAGGGGTTCCCTTTTCACTGCAGCGGTGTCCATTGGGTGGACACGCCACGGCTTGTTTATGCAGTCCCCTGCTGGTGGGCGCCTGGCTTGTTTCCAGTTTTAGGTTATTAGGGATAACTGCTGTGAACATTCCTGCACAGGTCTTCTAGGTAAACACCTAGGGGTGGCATTGCTGGGTCATAGGGCAGCTGTACTCAGTTTTAGAAACTGCTGGCCCCTTTCCCAGAGGTGCTGTCCCATTCTACATCCCTCCAGTGCTGGCAGCAGCTGCACAACCTCACCCGTGCTTACTGTTGTCAAGCTTTTTAATTCTCACCGTTCTGGGGGGTACGAAGTGGTATCTTCTTGTGATTACTTCAATTTTTTTTAACCTAGAAAGGTCAACATCTAATAGATGAGAGGATTCCCAGGAACTGAAGACATGAGGCCAATGGCTCAATTTATCCTTGTAACTTTCCCGTTTTAATTTAAAGTGGGGAGAGCAGAGAAGAAGGAAGACTCCCCTAAGGGGGCTAGTGAGCTGGCCACTGGGGATGCATGTGTGTCCTTCTCGGGATGGACTCATGTCCCTTGTCCTGTCTCTAGTGGGTTTGGCTGAAATGTGTCGATGGTTCTTATAGCCTGGGACCAGCAGGGTAACCTATAAAGGTTACAGGCAGCCTCATTTCATCCAACATCTAGGAACCTTGTTCTTCAGGCAGTTTTCCCTTCTCAGTTACAAAGCTGTGGGTTTCCTCCCTGTGGGATTGAACTGAGGGAGCTCCCGGGGTAATGCCGGTGTTGGGATGGGCTAGTCTTTCTTCTAACGAGCCCTCTAACTGTGGGGTGATGTAATCCTTCATCAATAAAGTGGGACCAGCACCCGTTCCTTGCCTGCCTCCCATGGCAGCTGTGGGGGTCAGGAAGAGACGGTGCATCTGGGAAAGGGACAGGTAGACCTGGCACACAGGTGTCCATCTGGGTAGGAGACGGGAGGTAGCTACGTCACCTTGGGCTTTCTCCCCCTCTTTCTCTCTTTCCAGGAGTCCGCTCAGAATTTGATCAAGTTGACACATCCAACCCAAACTGTGTCTTAATTGCTGATGCAGGAGATGGCTTTTCTTACCGAAACGTGAATAAAGCCTTCCAGGTGCTCATGGAGCTGGAAAAGCCTGTGCTCATATCACTGGGAAGCGGGTAAGTCGGCTGCAGGAAGAGTCGTTTCTGTCTGCTTTGCGATGCTCCGCGGGTCTCTGACTACAGAACAAGCTGAGAAGGATGCGGGAAGGTGGGCGTGGGGTGGGCACAGAGTGCCCTTTCTCCTCCCTCCCCTTTTCTTGCTTTTGCTCTTCATTTCTTCCTTCCTTTCTCTTAATTATTTTTTGAGGACACTAGAACCCTCAGGAGCCGGTTGGTCCAGCTCCCATGTGGGCCCTGGGCTGGGAGAGGCTGGGGGCAGAGGACGGTCATTGCAGACGGAGACCCCTTAAAGATCTCAGAGGGCAAGTATTGATCATCTCAGGTTTAGAACAAAGGAGGGTGAGGGCACAGCTGCACAGGACACAGCGCCAGGTGTTGACGAGTGTGCCAAGGGGACACCTAAGTCATGAGGAGCAGGCTCGAGGGCCTGTGGGACGCTCTGTCCTGGGCCCCACATCTCTGGGCGCAGAGAATGGTCTCTGTAAAGTTGTCATTTTGTGACCGTTTCCGGCTGAGCCTTTAGCATGGGCCTCACCATCTCTCTCTCTCTTTTTTTTTTTAAAAGGCATGTTGGCTATTTTTCTTAACATCTTTTACCACCAAGATGCCACATGTTCATTAAAAAAAAGATTAGAGAATACAGATGAGGAAAATGAAAAGTATTTTCTGTCCCATTGCACAAGAAAAACGGCTGCCAACATTTTGATGTGGGTCCTTCTTATGCAGACAGATCACCAGAAACGGGTGTAGTCACTTTGGCATCACACTTGACCTAGTTTTGTCACCCGTTTTTTATTGTTCAACAAACAGTATTTTGTGAACAACTTACTATGCAGTGAATGGATAGATCTCTGCGTCACGATGATCCCCGTGTGGACATCCTGTAGTCTTTTTAACTGGCACCTGCTGATGGACATGCAGGTTGTGTCTGTTTTCCTTTTTTTTTTTTTTTTTTTTTTTTTTTT